TAAAATCTGGGACATTACAGAAAAGGGCTAAGATCTGTGATGTTTGAGAGATTATGCACGCGAGAGAAAAAGGGCTAAGATCTGTGAAGATTACATCATTTTTTGGAAAATTGGGTTCAGGAAAAAATTATCTTTTTGAGAAAAGGGGACGTGATTCAATTCAATAATATACAATCCATTTCTTCTTTGCACCGGAAGGAAAAAAACAATAAATGCCGTGGTGGTTGGGCAAGGAGGTAGAGGCGAGTGGACTGTGGCGTTGGGGGTAGGAGAGATTTTATTTATTTTTTTTCATTTTTAATGTTTTAATAAGATTTTTGGACTGTTTTGTACCTTTAAAAAGTTTGGGAGTATGGCTGTAATTTGTTCTTTATTTTTATTTTTATTTTATTTAAATATGAGGGTATATTGGTCATTTTACGGTAAAATTTTGTGAAAATGACGTTTAGCTCAAAAAATGTGAAAGGTATGGACGTTTTGTACCAAAAAATGAAATGTAAGGACGTTTTTCCACAAAAACAGGCAAAGGTAGGGACGTTTTGCGCCAATTACCCTTATTGAATATCTCTATTAAATAAAACAAGGTATTTTTGTTATAAGCACAAAAGGAAAGTTTAATTTTTTTAAATAATTTAATTACTTAACAAACTAATAATTTCTTTAGCACATTAGTTAATTAATTATGAGCTTAATTTTAATTTATTTCACAACATTTCGTCAAATATACAAAACAGTTTACGTATATTTTCCACCAAAGGACCATTTGTGCCAAAACAAATGTTGGGGACCATTTTCCATGGAAGGAAAAAGTTATGGACCATTGGTGTAAATTTCTAGCTAGTAGTTTACTTTCATTTAACGGTAGTGCCTTACTCGTGCGTAATTGAAGGTCGATTTGGACGGAAATTGTTGGAAATGACGCTATGTGCAAACGAATTGATAAGTTGAGACTATCAGCTCCAAAATTCAAACCATAGGGAAGTTTTGCACACTGACCCCATACGTCAGGGACATTTTGGATCAATTTTCCAAAAATTAAAAATAACTTAATCTTACCCCTATTTGACATCCTTCACTTTATTTTAATGTATTTCTCACTCATTTTCAACTACACATTCAAACAATAAAATATTTTACAAGTAAATCCAAAAAATTTCCGTACTTTTTAACTACACATTCTCCTAAAAATATAATTCAAAACAATATTTTTTAAATTTTAAGAATGTAGACTAATCCTATCTAATACTACCTTTCTACGTAGTAGAATTCACTCTAATTTATATTTACTCATTTCATAAAATTTCACTAAAATATTATCAATTAGTGAACGCATGTGTCCTTCCTTACTTTTCTGTGAAGCCCTTTACATAAAGAACGAGACTGCTCATCTTTGAAATTTTAGCTACTTAAGTACTCGTAAAGCTAAGGCGAACGTGGCCCCCTGGCCGAGACGTCTAGCAAAATGCTTGGCCTCCTATGTTGAAAGCGAACCCTGAAGTGTGAACTTCTAGCTTCGAGAACTAGATAATAGGCATTCGGCATTCTGAGTTAGAAGAGGCAAGCAAATTAATGGAGGCACTAAAATATCGTCAATTGTTCAACTTATCAAATTTCAATTAAGCAAATGAATGGAGGCACTAAAATATTATCAATTGTTCAATTCATCAAATTTCAATCTTAACCACATATTTCATGTGATCCACAACTTTTATCAACTTTTCAACTATATATTTTATCAATTTTTATCAAAATATACTAAAACTTTTTTCAAGAACTTCATCGCCCAACTCTTTAATATCTTATTCAATTTAATTTTTAATGTGCCGAACAAACCCTTAGGATAAAGCCACAAATAAAAAAACGGTGAGCCCTGTCTAGTAATGGTATGATCATTACTAGACACGGTTTGATCATTATTGTTACAACCTAGGTTTGGGTAACATAGATTGTAGTCGAATGCACAAATTGAAAAATGATGTTAACTAACATAAAAATTTATCATTTTCCAGAAAAATTATTTGCTAATGCTCGGAAGTTTTTGGGCTTGAAACTCGTAAAAGCATCTTCAATGTTAGCGATGGTTGTACTTTTTTGCTACATAAACTAAAATAGATAATATCTACAAAATTTCATCTTCAATGCAAGTGTCCAGATCTGCGTCTAGATGTCGTGACAAGAAAATAGTAGACGTTGTTTAGAGGACCTTCTAGATAAAGGTCCTCTAAACTGAAAGGGTCATCTAATTTAATTTTTCTTTTTTTCTTTTTTGCTCTTTTTGTTTCTAATTATTACTCTCCTTTTTATTATTTTTTCTTTCTCCTACTAAATAAATATTAGCTATGAAATTTGAAAGATAGATGGATTCCATTGGATATGAAAATTTGAACTAGGTCGTCTATTATTAGACATTAATACCACATATGTTGGAAGTCTTTGTTGAGATGCCACTACAATCCTTGGAGATGCTATAATGCACTCAGACTTGTTAAGATGAATATTAACAAAATTGTATCCTAATACAAATAATTAAAACAATGTTATCCATATAACATATCTCATCGTGAGTGTATATTTTATATATGTTTTTAGATGGAAAACCAGCGGATTCCATCAATTTCACCTATGATATGATAAAAGTATTAAGATTTGAGGTTCCATCTTAAAATATCAACCTTGTCAAGGGGAACAACTCAAACATTTATAAATTGATTCATGTTTTCATCTTTATTCGATGTGTGATTTTATTCCTTAACATATCCCGATAAGATGGGTCCATGTTTTTATCCTTATTCGATATGTGATTTTATTAGAGGAGTAGCTCAAACTCTCATATGTTGGACTATTTTTTCATTTTTTTTTTCGATGTGTGATTTTATCCATTAACAAAGAGATCCACATTGTTTCCCTTCATTCTCATTTATAGAAAACTCTATGGGATTACGTTGCCACCTATTTTCGTTCTCTATAACTATAAATACCCAACAAAACAAACTTTTATCATCCATTCCTACATTTTCCAACCACTATTTGTTGACTTACTTTTGAAGATTTTTGTTGTTGGAGAGGAGAGAGAGGAGGAGAAAATGTTGGCAATATTCAAGAATGGTTTGGTGAATCCACCAAAGGAATTGAATAGCCCATCTTCATTTGATGCTTGTGGAAGGATTAAGAGTACAGAGGATACATCGAAGGTTTTCTTGGCTTCTCATCCCACCAATGGCTTCTCTATTAGATTTGTCGACAAGGCATTGTTAGCTTACGCCCCACCTCAAAAGCCAATAATTGCAAATCAAAAGTAGTCGTTGAATAACATTGTCTAAAAGTTTAAACTATTACAATAAACAAACTTACGATATTTTTTGCATGTTCTGCTACGATGTTTAACATTTCAACACATCTCAACATTTAGTATTTTTTCATATCAATCTCCCTCTATCTTGAATTCCTTTTCTTGTAGGTATATATGCCTGATAATTTATAACATGGATCATAGCATGAAATGGCATATGATAATCTCAACCTTTTTAGAGTTTTTAAATTTTCCTATACATTGATCAGATCAAAACTACGATATTGCAGGTTGTGCCGCAGTGTAAATGACATAAATTGCATTTCCCGGGGTGTTAAAACATCTCGACCAAACTTAACAAGCAATATGGGCTATCAAAAAGTGGAAATGATGGCATGTTTGTGGTTGAAGCTAATCGGACCCTCCGTGATAAGGGCCCAATCCCTGCCCATCAAGTCCTTCAAGATCTTGAAGGTAGTTTTGGATTTGTGATCTATGATCACAAAGCTAGAACTGTGTTTGCAGCTCTTGTAAGTGCTATTTATTCGCAATAAATTTAGAGTCGTCTATATAAAACATTTAATAAATTGTTTGATTAATAGGAGAACTATAGAAGGGGAAATGGGAGAGAAGGGAAAGGAGGGGCAAAGAGAGAAGATGGAGAGAGGAAGAGAGAAATTGGGGAAGAAATCAATTTATCTCATCATCAAAAGTTGTCAATTACATTGTATAGACACTCTTTATATAGGGTTTCAACTTCTTATTCTCACCGTCGGGAAATCATGACTCAGTACAACACAGACGGTTACATTTGTTTGATCCAAATTGAACTCGATCATTACGGTATCTACAAACTTAGTATAAGTGCAATTACGATCCAGCAAAATCACCGATAATTGGGATCCATTCAGCAAACATACCTGCACATTCATCATATCTGCAATTTTAAATGTATAAAGTCAGTGGTAAAAATGAATTCATGCAGGTCACATATGATGTTCGGGTCATAGTACGAGATCATGCATGTCCATAGAATTACGTTCAACATTTAGTATGTACTATCACTGTAATCAAAGTCACATATTTTATTGATTGTGCATAGATATGTTTTAAATTCACATCATAAATTTATGAAAACATAATAGAACAGTAAAAGTTGATCTGATAGAATGACATACCAATGGCAATGTGTATTCTTGGTGTCGACAAAGGAAACGTTTGTTTTCAATTTTTCACCACAGATTGGAGCCTTCAATTGGTGACCGAAAAACCGTGACCGGAATTGACAACCTTCGATTGGTGACCGAAAATTTGTGACCGTAGATGACGAACTTTGATGTGTGACCGGAAATCTCGTTTGTGCTGCCGTCAATTTTTTCAACAGGATAGAACTTCGTCGGGGCTAAAGCTGGATTTGTATTTTAGGGACGTGATTTAGTATTTTAGAGAGTCCTTACTGTACGCTTAATTTAAGGAATGTAATTTAACAGAATATCGATTAATTAATATAATTAATTAATTGAGGAAAAATCTGATTTTTGCAATCTGTAAACTTGATGCCTGAATATTGATTGGGTGATAGATAATACATGATCCATGATTTTTTCTCATTTGAAAAACAGTAGCAGTAACGTAGTTACAAAAGCAAGCAGTAACACAAAACGATTGTACCTAGTTTTTTTCAAAGGTAAATAACAGAAACCTAATTCAATTATTGTTGCCGTTGAACAGTTCCGGCATTCCTTTTTCTTTCTTTTCTTTTTTTTTAGGTGAAATAAGATACTTGATCAGAGAAAAAAATTCTGCTACTGCTGAGATGACCCTTCTTGTGTTTTGAACTATTTTAAGGTTTTGTGTGTGTGTAACGGTAGTTATTGGGCTCGAATGGGTGTTGGAAGGTGGCGGTATGTTTAGGATTGGATGGAATGGTTGGTGAATTTTTGGATGTGAAAAAAAAAAGGACAAAAGAGAACGAATTGCTCTGATATCAAATTGACATATGAAATAATAGGAGAATTGTAGAAGAAGGGAAAAGGAGAGAGAAGCAGAGAAAGGAAGGCAAAGAGAGGAGATGGAGAGAGGAAGAGAGAAATTGGGGGAGAAATCAATTTATTTCATCATCAAAGGCTGTCATTTTGTCAATTACATTGTATAGACAATCTTTATTTAGGGTTTCAACTAATACTAATTGTAGTAGGAAAATACGATAAAATAAATCCCTAATTAATTTTTCCTAAAATAAACTTTAAAATTGGAAACTAAATATACTATTTATTCTAATAATCCATTATTTCCTATTTATGCATGTTTGGTGGTAGAGGTGTCAATCCGGGT